AACCGGACCCGCTGGTTCTGTACTGGCCTTCCGTACGGATGTGCGCGCGCGTTACCGTGTTGGGCGGGCGCCATCGGCGCGCCCGCCGGGGACGAGGCAGGTGACGGATGGTAGCTAGTCGGCGGCGAGCTAAGCGAGCTCGGCGTCGCCGACTGGTCCGTCACCGCCAGTATCTCCTCCGTTTCGGTTCCGCGTGCTGTCGGGAGTTCAGACAGGGACTCGACCGACAGCACGGGCCTTGTCCGCGCGTTGCGCGTGAATCTTCTCACCGAGTCGGACGGTGCTTGAGGCGACGCGAAGGAGGTCGCCTGTCTTCGAGCCGAGCGGTGCGTCTCGCCTATCGCTTGCGCGTAGCGTGCCACAGCTTGGTAGTCCACGCCCGGATGCGTCGCGAGATAATTCCGCACCTGCGCGCACGTCGCTGGCAGAAGTCCCTCAACAAAAAGGGACTTCAGGCGCCTGTCCGAAAATACGGTTCCGCAGCGCAACGCCTTGTCCCACAACTGGTTACTGTACACCTCCTCCGTCATATTAGAGCTCTGACGGAAGGAGGTGACATCACCGACCGCTTCGGAAATAACTTCGTCGGTCGCGTACGTGCGCAATAAAAAGTTAATAACTTCCGCGTAGGTTTCGAGCATATCGCGCTGCTCCGCATCGACCGCCATGGTGTTCCCGTGTAGCCTGGACTGGAGCAAGGCGTGAGCCTGCCCAGTCAAATAGAACTGGAAACACCACACGGCCGCGCCTTCGCTGACCCCATTGTGGTCGCAGGCCATCTTGAAGCGCGCGAGGAATCCTAGCACCGCGATTGGATCTTGACCACCGAATGTGTGGGTTTTCAGCTGGACGTCCAACTTCTTCCGATATCGGTTAACTCGCCGCGCGGTACTCGCGTCGTAGCGCGCGCTGCGATTTTCCAGCCTATACGTGCGGTAGTCGACGGCCTTGGTGAACAGGTCGTTCAGCGGCCTGATCACCGGCAACCGTTTCGGATCCCGCCTCGGGGCAGACCGGCGGTCCCTGCCACTGCGATGGCGGTCTCCTTCTCCGCCGGGGCTACTGTAGCCCTCCGGATCGGAGTCTTCTCGCCGGAACCGACGTCGGTCGCGCGCATTGCGGCCTCTGCGGTCGCTTCTGCGCGATCCGTCCGACTCGGTGTCCTCGTCATCGGAGGGGTATCCACCTCCTCCGGCATCGCGGTATCGCGTATAGCGTCCGTCGCGGTTATCATCGGAGGGGTAACCGACCCCTCCGGCATCGCGGTATCGCGCGTAGCGTCCGTCGCGGTTCTTGCGCGTCGCCCTGTGGCGACGTCTTGTGTCTTCTTCCTCGGAGGGGTTTTCTGTACCCTCCGAGGTGTAACCTTGAGCGCCGGGTGCGCTTCTTCTGCTCGACCGATACGGCTGTCGCTTTTCTGTCGCGAAGCGCCCCAGGCGGTTTTCTGTCCCGCGGGGACCAGCCGTATCGGCGAGTACGGGAGGGCCATTTTCTGTGGGCCCTCCTGTAGCACCATAAATTGGTGGGAGGTAAATGGTCTTACCCTCCGGGTGAGGGGCCATTGTACCGATCCCGGGTGCGGCGCCGATCGGTTCAGCGTGCGTTAGCGTAGGGTCCGGAGCGGTCGAGTCGCGCTGCTCGCGTGCGTCGACTCCTGCTCCGGCGAAGGTCGTGGCCAGACGATTGGCCACGGCGGAGCTGATCGCTCCCTTTAGAGCCGTACCGGACGGGGATTCTTCATCCACAGTGGTGAGCGCGGTCACCACCTCGCATTGGACTTGAGCGGGTAGAAGTTCGTCCAAAAGCGGTGGTATCGCGCTGCGTACGTGCGCGTCCACGAGCGCAGGCACCGTTCGGTCGAGGCATACGCGCGCTACCTGGGGGAGTTCCGTAGCGAGGAACTCCTCGACCCAGGCCTGGATGCGCGGCTGAATCGCGTCGACCATCCATTGGACGCGATTCTCAGTGCCTGCCGACCCGGCCGGCGTAACATCCGATGCGGACGCTCGCGTGCGGCCCGGTCGCGGTGGCGGTCGCAGCAGGGCTTCCGGGTTCTCCACCCGGGGGCGCGGCGCGCCACTGCCACTGCGGGTGCTCAGACGCCCGGAGGCGGAGTCTGCCCCTTGATCCGGTCGGTTCATCGTCGAATACGCTTCGCGATCGACGCGGTGATTTCTCAACCTTTTCCGTCCGTACGGTTCTGCGCAGAGCGGGCGTCAAGGCGCGCGGCTCTACCTCGAGAGTTGTACCCCTCCACAAGAGTACCAAAATGTGGTACAACTCTCCTCAAACCCTAGCGGGCGAGAGGCTCGGAGGATGAGCCGAGGGAGCTCGCGACGCGAGACGCGGGGCGCGCGGTTACCGAACGGTCGGACTTGCGAAAAGGGAGTGGCACACTGGCCGGTTACGCGCAGTCGTTCCGAGGTGCTAGATCGGAGACGACCGGTAACGGGTTAGAAGCCAACGCGCGAGAGAATACCGAAACGGCAGTACGTAGGCGCGAAAGGGAGGGGGGCAAGTCTGCCCCCCGTGTTTACTGCGAGGACGGTGTCCAGGTCTTAACCCCTCAGAGGGACGCCCGGGACACCTGTCCAATACAGTACCTGTCACTTACTGTGGACCAGGTACTGTACGCGATTGAAAATCTAGCGCCGTCATTACACCACCGCACGGATCCTCACACTACGCGCTTGCCTTACACTGCGCGCGCATTATCCCCACACGGTTCCTTACACTACACGTGTACCCAAGCGTACACCTGTCACTTGCTGCGCCCGTTCGGTAATCATACGTATTACACGTGGGCCACGGTGCCCCGTGCCCGCTGCGCGCGGCCGCTCCTACTGTACACCGACCGCGGATCGGTCGTTGTACCACAGCCGGCATAGCTGCTTCGGCATCAGGCCTCCTTGCTCCTTTATTTTTAATTGCCTCTGGGAAAAAAGTAATGTCAAGGTGGTCGGAGCCTTTCCAGGAAAAAGACGTCCCATGTCTGGATGGGTCATTGAACTGGCTCACGAAAACGGATTGGTGCCCGCCCTCCACTCGAATATCTGTGACTCCAAATGACTCAATTGATGGTGAAATCATCAAAGATGCACTGGAGCACGGGACAAAGTTCATTCGCAAGCATGTTTGCCCCGAAAAAAAAGTTGTGCTTATCTTGGACGGGCATGCGTCCCGTAACAGTCTAGAATGGCTGCAGTATGGTGCAGAAAACAACGTCGAAATCGTTCGCCTTCCTGCAAACACTAGTCATTTCTTGCAGCCCTGTGACCAGGCAATCAACCGTGTATTTCAGCAATCCATTCGAGCTGCACGCGATGAATTGCTGTCGAATTGCCATACTGGGTTTGCCAATGTTGCCTTCAAACTAAAACTAGCAGCAGCGGGACACAAAGCCATAACAAAACCAGTAATTGAGAAATCCTTCGTCACTGCTGGATGATGACTTGTGGACTACAGGTTTGTTTCTGCTGCGCAGAATAAAGAAAAAGGCCCTGGCACGCCATTTGATACGTTCTGCGGTCACTCTCCTCGGTCCGATACATTTGGCCTGCAGCAGTTGCATCAAATGAAGAGGAGAGAGGCAGATGGACGGCTTCTCAGACGCGTTCGGGAGATTTGTGACAAATCTTTTTCACCGTCGAGAGAACTTCCTGAAATTTCCTTGCTGACCACATCGAAATATTTCACTAATACTGTTTTGAAGGAACATAGTGGTCCCACGAGAACTCAAACGACGTCACCTTTGCCCAATTGGGCTCTTGTAGGTGGCAAAGAGGCGAAACATTTGACCGTAAAACATTTGCTCGAAGAGTTTGAGCAATGGAAAGCCAAAAAGGCTAGCGGGGGAGGAAACAGACTTACAGTTCGAAACAAGAAACAGGTGGGACATCCTGAGGGCATTGAAAAAGAGAATTGTGGAGTCGGTTGCGCAGTGAACCCGACATTTGTGCGTGAGGATCGATTTTCTTCGATTTGCGAAGATTCGCCCGTAGCCAGATGGTACAGCACATTGGAAGGACAACCTCCACGCAAGGTCACGCCCAAGGGCGGTGCCTTGCGCGACGAAGCTGCTTCAGCACTCGTAGGACTTTCTCTTCCACGTTAACGTGAAGTTTTTCTTGTCGAGGGTGTCCCAAATTAAGCACCTCGACAAAGTGGCCGTCTGCAGCGTGGATATTTTTTCTTCAAAAGCATGGAATAAATTTCTGAAAGTCTATATTTTTGGGGTGATCGAAAGTGTCCCAAACCAAGCCCTTGAGAACGGTACCCCCCCTGTACTGTACTACACAACAGCTTACCGTACAGTATGCCTCGCGCTGTACACAGCATGTATTACACTGCACACAAGTAGTGCACTGTGCAGAAGCCTTAAATTTATTGCAGTACTTCACAACCCCCCTTATCGAAGGCTGCGGACCAGGAAACGGACCAGGAAACGGACGACAAAGCTTTTTTCACCAATCACAAAGATCTTCTCATACAGTCGCCTCTCCACGCCCGCGCCAGATCCGACGGGCTTTCAGACCAATAGAGGGCTTCCATTCACGTCTCACTGTAAGTCCAGTGTCACATTGCTGTGTCCGCATCGCGGACTCCGCCTCCAGACACAGATCTAATTGGGCGTCTGAGGTTGTGATCTCTTTTCTACACACCGCTGCTTACAGTCCTCCTGTGCCCCTGCCTCCCGCGCATGCCCCTGATTGGCCCTTCCATGGCACACTAATCAAAACTGACCAATCTACAGCTGGGCCCTACTATCAGCATCCGGTCCCTCCTCATCAACCTTACTGTTATTACTGTACCGCCCGTCTCGTTTTCCCCAACTTCTTCTCGCCGCCCTCGTCCGTTCTCAATCAACTCCCATCAACCTTACTGTTACTACTGTACCGCCCGTCTCGTTTTCCCCAACTTCTTCTCGCCGCCCTCGTCCGTTCTCAATCAACTCCCAGTCCCCGCCCCACACCTCCTCCGCCCTCTTTCTCCCATCCACCATGCCGGGCAAGGGCGACCTGCCCCCCGCCTCCATCTCTTCGGCCGGCATGCAGCCGCGCTTCTCCCGCGCGGGCGCCGCGCTCACCTCCGATCCCGACGACAAGCCGCGCTCCACCCGATCCCGCTCCTTCTCCACGGCGCGCAGTCGTAAGTGGCTCAACTCCCTACTGTCCGCGCTGCGCATCCGACGGGCGAAGCGCACAACGGCGAGTATTGTGCTGCTCGCATTGTTCGTTGCCGTCCTGGCCGCCGCCGCCCTCGTCTTCAGGAATCTCTACCCGAAGAGCCTGTCGCGGCTTAAGGCGGGCGTCGAGGACGTCAAGGTCGGCGTCATGGACATCACGCATCTGCACCAGAGCCATCAAGCTACGGCTAAGAGCACCTCGCAGGTGGGCGTGGAACGCATGGGAGGGGGGAACGTGTCGGTGATCCAGGGCGAGAAAGTCGTTGAGGATCCGCATGCGCGCGCAGCTGAGGAAGATGACGCGGATGTCCCCGATCATGGCGAGATTGCGCCGAAGCCAGTGAGCGCTGAGTGGCGGCTCCCGGTCTTCGTGCCGGATGGTGTAACGCAGAGGAGACCGGTGCCGCCGGAGGTTGGGTCGCTTGCGATGGACTCGGAGCGGAAGCATTATGCGGGGGAGAAAATGTCTGTTGTCGTGCTGTTTCATAATGAGTATGATTCGCTCAAGTATGCGCTCAAATCGTGGCTTGACAGGGGATTAATTGATTATGCAGATGAGGTGCTGTTCTTTTTGAACGGTGTCAAGAGCGAGAGCGACTTCGTGACAAAAATTCCCGACTTTTCTGACCGCATTCCGGAGGAGAAGCGCAGCATACATGTGTCGAAGGAGAACATGCCTCTTGGGTTGGCCATCACAAAGATGATCGAGCTCACCAGGCACGACTATGTTCTCCTCATGGAAAAGGATTGGGAACTCATTGAGGAGCAGCCCGTTATGGAGTCACGCCTAGATGATTCCAAGGTAATCGTAGGATCAGGGATTGCGGATCTGGTGAGGCATAGACATCGCTACAATCCGGGGGTGCCGTTACACGCTCTAATTATGCATGAGGGTCGCGAAAGCTCTATAATGACGCAGCAGAAGAACTTGCTCTGCTTTGTACATCACTGGCAGAAGGATCCTACGACGATGTACCCTGGGGAGGGGATCATGCGTAGATGCGGCGGCGCCGAGCGCAAGGTTGAAGAAGTCGATATATATTGTTCGTCTTCTGTATACTGCCAGTGGACTAATAACCCCGCTGTGTTCAAGAAGAAATGGTTTATGGATGAGGTTGGCGAGAGGTACAGGAAAGAGTACAAGATCGAATTTGACAAACACGGCAAGACCTCTCCGTTCCTCGATTTTGAGTATTACACAAACTGGCGCTCTTACGCTTGGACCGATAAGAACTTTACCGTTGCAGTCGGTACTGGCTTGTTTCGCCATGCGGAGTCAGAGCATCAGCATTTCAATACGTTTTGGTACGCTTTCTATCGTCTTACGCAAGACATGAAGGAAATTAGAGACGCCTACTTGAGGAACGAAACGAGTTTCAAAAAGTTGGGAGGCGTGCACTTCGACCCGACCTCACCGATTCCTCCACCGATGATGCAGAGATATCCAGTCGACTTTGTTCGAAAATACCACATCAAGGAAGCATTCACGGGTGGCTTGAACGAGCAGCGGCATTTGATCAACGAACGTTACCAACCGTACTTGAAGGCTCACCGGAGCTTGACAGACGACGAATGGAAGCAGCATGGACCTGAATCTAAGACTCCGAAACAGGCGGTTGATTGGCGCACAGAAGTCACCAGGCTGCATAATACCGTAGAGACGGCAATGATTCGAGCCCCACCTTTGCAGCCTCACGAAATGAACATAACTCTGGTCACCTCACTACTCGATCTAGGCCGCGACGGTCTCGCTGCGGATTCCTATCAATTCAGGAGAGAGTTCCAAATGTACCTGGATGCGACGGCGAAATGGTTGCTTCATGTTTACCCTAAAGTCGTGTACACATCTCAACAGATCGCTGATGAGTTAACGAAGACGATGAGTGAAGATTCCAAGAGAACTACGGAGTTTGTCATCACGAACAGGAAGGAATTGCGTTCAAAATGGCTTGGTCCTGACAACTATGACCGTGTGCAAACTTTAAGAACGTCAAAGGAGTGGCTGGAGCGTGCGTCATGGTTGGCGAACTCTCCGCAGGCTGGTTTGGAGGATTACAACCCACTGGTCATGTCAAAGATATACATGGTTCGTGATGCTGCAACCAAGAACTACTTCAACACGACTCACTTTGTGTTTTTGGACGCCAAACACAACTGCATGAATCCCGAACTTATGACTCCCAAAAACGATCATATTATTCGCGCACACATGTTCAACAAATTCCTCCTTACAACATTTGACTATACGCCGGCGTCCGAGATACACGGATTTGAGTATAAGGCGTTCAACGAGTACTGTAATATCAAGAACCCTGACACCAGACAGTTGCTGAAGATTGGACGTGGTGGAATATTCGGAGGGTCGGCATTTGTAATTGAGTACATAGCAGCGATGTATGACGCTGTATTGACGGCAACGTTACAAGAAGGTCTCATGGGCACAGAGGAGAACATATTTGCTATCTTGAGGTGCCAAGTACCGCAATATGTGGATGACTTTAGCAACAATTGGGCATGCCCCGAGCAAATACAAGGAGATCACACTTGCAAAAACCTGGAGTCTCAAGGATACAACTGCGCGATTTTCGACTGGGTAGCCCGGGATGCGGTCAGGAGTTGAGCAATATGTACAGTAAACAACTTACTTGAAGGGAGTTGCCAGCACAGAGCTCGGTATTGCAATTCTTACGGGCTTTCTTGCACCTCTGGGTCACAGCCCGTCCTTGCTTCTCAATTAATGTTCGGAGCGTTCTCTACAGCAAGCATCCGGCCAATCGACTGCGCTTGACAGAAGTTGTTGCGGCCAACTTCAAGAAACAAAAAACAAAAGGGTCATTCTGAGATTGGGAGGGGGACAAGGTCAAAATCTTTCGGTGTCAGGGGGGGACACATGATATTGTATCGATACAGTAGGAGACAGGTGCATTTTGTTTCGATTGTAGGGGGGGACGTAAAAAATCGACCCAAATAGGAGGGGGAATTTGGATTTCGAACTCGCACTTTTCGCGGAGTTTATTGTTCAAGTGAGTGAGAGGTGCTTTATTGAATAAAGTCACCGCCGTCCCCCGCTCCCGAGAGGATCGGGGGTATCGGTGTTCCTGGAATCACAGTACCCCCGCCGTCGTACCCCCGCCATGCCGTCGTACCCTTATCCTCCCTCACCGTATTCCGCTGCATACTGGTCTCAATCTCAAGATCAAAATTACAGAATCAGTCTCCAGTTGCCCCCAACTCGCCCGCACGTTGTCTTTACCTATACGGGGCACACCAGTACGGACAACGTCTTCACTGACATCTTGCCAAACCGAACCTCTTTCGTCGCATGGGATTCTTTTGCCTCCGCTGTTCAACAAGCCAGGGATGACAATGCCGAACACAACACTAATTTGTCGTCTGAAGAATTGCTACAGGTGAGGGGCGCATTCGTAGCCGCTCATGGAGACCTCACCGAGCAAGTGGAAATCACAGACAAGGCCTCTGTCTCCCGCCTCGTTTACGGCGCCTATTCTTCCGTCGCAAAAATCCACCGGCTTCTGGGCAACGCGAATACAAGACTTCGAACCGCCCATCGCGCACAGTTACCTTCCGCCTTGTTTCGTTTCGGCGGTTCCCCAACAATCGACTTCGTTTTCATGGTTTCGGACCTCCTCCTCGCTGATGTCCGGTCTCGCCATCGCCTCGTGGCCGTTGAAGTCAAAAGAGCCAGATTCCCGCTCACTGCCAGGGGTGTGGTACCCAACACCCCCGCCCATCTAGCTGAGCTACATAACACAGACTACAAAAGTGGCGCACCGGCGTAGTACATCAGAATGATGTCACAGGCTCTTACATATGCGATGCACACCAAGAACGGATGTGTTATCGTAACAAATCACAGCCACGCCATGTTATGAAGGTTGAACCCACGCAGAACCACACCGATATATGGAAGCTCCAGGTGAAGGTTTCCAAACTCTACAAATGCAACGCTCTGGCCAGCTCCTTCCACGCTGTTCTGGCCATTCTACGAAAGAGCATTGCGGCCGAAGATATATCCTCCTCCTTGAAAGACGCTTTCAGACAGTTGCAAGGTCAACGTCTCCCCGCTCGGCGTACTCGTAGTCAGACCGGATCTGCCACATTGCCCCGGAGAAGGTCCCTGAGGTCTGCGAGCCGTCGTTCTGGTTCTGCCTCTTCCACGGCGCCTCCTGTCCGTACAGTACATGACGCAACTCCTCAGCCTCAACATGTCGACTCTGCGGCTGAAACCGTGCTCGCGTCGCTCTACCAGCCACAGCTCATTCGCGAACTGATGGAAAGTTCTGACAACATCATCACGGCTGACGGACACTCAGCTGTCTTGCGTAGCCGGTACAATGAGCTGGACGTAGCCGTGAAGTATTGGAACTGCGCCACGAGGCTTGGTCTACGGATGCTATTGAACGAGATTGACGTGTACGAGGAAGTGGTGTCGAAACACTCACACTTGCTGGGCACAGTGTTGCCTCGCCTCGTTGCTCTTTGGAAGCAGCCGCCGACAGACGCTGTGATTGTCTCAGAATACGTCGGGGAAGCTTTGACAAGGCGGACTGACAGTTCCGCAAAAACGGAACTACTTGGAAGCAAAGTGTTGGATACTAATGACTGTCGCCTCCTTCAAGATGCCGCTTTCGAGGCGCTTGAAAAGCTTCACAGCACTGGGCTGCGGCATAGGGACGTGCACGAAAGGAACATCAGAGCAACGCGTGAGGTGGGTGAACGGGGTGATGTCATATGGAAGGTATGGTTCATTGACCTTGGCCTTGCTTCCCTTTCCGGAAACTTGGATGAAGCCGCACAAGATGAAGATGAGCTCTGGAGGGCCACGTACTACAGTGGTCCCACGCTATAAAAACCACCCCGTGCATTCGTCCTTGGAGTGTTTCTTATCAAGGCGTGTCTCTCAAAGCGCCGGCCAATCATATCTTCATTCTTTAATTTTTTTCAAAAATAAAGAATGAATAGCGCTCGTACGCATTTTTGCTCCCAGATCTCATCCCTCGGACGAACCCCTGTGTCGCAGACCTCAGCGTCTCTTACCGAGGCGTGTTTAATAAAGATGGGTTTAATATCGCGGGACCACTGTACTCGGGAAACGACGCGGAGTGACGAAAAGCTCGATCTTTGTAATGCACCGCTTTCCGATAACTACTGTAAGAACGAAACCTTGTTTTCGTCTCCTGCATAACTCCTTCGATGAAGCTGTCGACATCGACATCGACAGCTTCCTTAACTTTCCTTGCACATCCTTGTCTATCGTCCAGTGTGCTGCGCATGTAGCGCAAATAGACACGAAGCTGCCTTATGGCTCAGTCAAACAAGCGGCAGAGAAATCTCACCAATTCACGGGCTTCACAAAGCGTAGCTCATTCTTGCCTGCGCGACTGTCCCGTCCTGATGGCCACAGTTGATCTTTTCTTTATCCACGTCTCCCCGTTAACTCGTGATAGGCCAGTAGCTCCGCAGCAAAGCATTTAGGGACCGAGCGCACACAATGGCCCACAACTCTGCATTTTGGAGATGTTCACTTATCTTCAACCTCTTGGCGCATGCTCTAGTCTTTTGTGGTCAGCCGATAAAACCCTTTTTTGAGGGTGTTGGAGTATTTGCTTTAGTCGTGTTCTTTGCAGGTAAAATACCGCAATGTCATTACAGTGAACCCTCCCGATAAGGATCATTCTCCATATGGATATCCTCCGTAAACGGATAAAAAGTCGAGCGACGTACTCCGTAGCTTACAAATGTTTACTAAAAAACAATGTCTGTGGAATATTCCTCAATTGGATATCGGGTTCAATGTGAAATAAGCATATCATACAGACCCCTCCTACTTAAAACGTATTTTATGGTTACTTTTAAGCGGCCAAGCCACAAATTACCCCATAACCGTTCATTCTTGATCGATCCATTCACAATCTGCTCAATAAATTCCAATCCCCGTCTGAGGCTTCGCAATTATCATCATTCTCGACAAAAACATCTTTCTAGCATATACTCCTGTTGGTCCTCCCCCAATAAATCTCCTCTGATCGCAAACATTGCGTGTCGTCAGCACCGTAGCCATCTGCCCCCGTCAAGCGACAATCGTCGATGAAGCGCTCTGAGCTTAACCTCGCCCAAAAGCAACAAAATATGTGCAGAGTTCCAACGGCGCAGAAAGTGCAAGGAGCAGACGTCACAAAGCGCCCTTGGGAAGTGGGCCTCAGTACAGTTTTCCCTTTCCAAACCTCCTGCTCAAACTGTCATGTCCCGCATCATCAACGGAAAGTATGGTTTTCGTCCCGATATCTCTGCGTACCAAGAAGGGAATTCCACAGTCCAGACGACGATAAATACATTTTTTAAGTAAAGCACAGACATTCTGAGAGATGCAGGTCACCGTGACACTGATATGATACGGTCTCCGGATGTGAATAACCTCTGCAAATGGATACGGATTGCGTCCACCGAGCGTATCCATATCGAGAGGGTTCACTGTAGAATAGGTGACTGGTCCATCGAACTTCATATTTCCGCAGCCGAGGCTCTGGTCAATGTCATGCAAAAACCGATACCGAAGCGCATTTCAAAGCTTATATGCGATGCAGCATTCCAAATCGTCACAAGAACAATGAGTAGTGACATCTTTGAAGCCTGGGGAGAGATACTGTTCGTTGTGTCGAATGTTCAGTGAGACGGCAATTACGAAATTTCTTCTATAATCGCTATTCTCGATGACTTCACCTTGTCCTTAGACGACATTTGCAGAAAGCTCGTTGCTCGGGTACTAGGTTCTCTTTCAGCATGTTTGAGTATGGCTGAAATTGAGTCTTACGTGCTCAATCGGGCCTTGCATCTAGCAGATGACTCTGATACTGACGTTCGTGGAATTGTTGCAGAGTCATTGGCATTCATTGGAGATGTGGTGGATATTGAAATGGTCTAAAACAGTATTTGGCCAAAGTTTCTCTGCTTGCTCAGAGATCCTGACGACAGAATACATGCCGCGACGCTAAGAACGATAGGTCATATCTTAGAAGCACACAGAGACAATTGTGAAACATCCTCGCTATTCAAAACGCTGCTACCTCCTGTTTTCATAACAGAATTACGCTTTGCTCGTTGTGCAGCCGAAGAAGACCAAAGAATAGTTGACGATGATACTTATCTGCTCTTGGAAATCTTTTTAGAGGTTTTCGGTCCTCTTTTGTTCGCGACACACCGCTTCTTTGCAAATGAGAACGAGAAAGCGCATGCATTTGGGGCATTCACCGCAATGTCAACATACAACGGCCAATAGTTCGCAGATATTGCGCCTTCAACTTACCAGGCGTCGCAAGAAGTCTTCGGGAAGGCTATACATCTGAGCTGTAAGGGATTGTGGAGTTTTTGGCAAAAGATTCAGATCCTGAGACACGGTGGAATCTTGCGGCTGGAATCCACGAGACATGTCGAATTCTTATGGGAATCGGATCTGTCGATAACTTGTTTCAGACAGTGGTTTCCTCGCTCCAGGATAAGAATCCATTGGTCCGCATGAACACATTGGAGCACTTTCACGAGCTTTTGTCATCTTTGTCAGATGAAAATGATGTTTCGTCCATGAGGAAGCTGAGGCCAGTGTTTCAGAACCCGACATCGCTTTCAGAGGGAAAATGGAAGACGCAAGAATTACTTGCCAAGCAATTTGAGAAAACCTCAAAGTTGGTACCCCCTGATTGCTTACGAGAAGACGTGCTTCCATTGCTGAGTTCGATGGCGGAGGAAAGTACATACTTAGTCAGGAAAGCAGCCGTGCCAGCTATAGCAAGAACTCTAGGTTGTCTTCCAAGTCCTGGTGCAAGAGAATTGGTGATGAAGGAATTCATTTCTGATTGGGCTGAAGGAGGAGTCTATTGGATGAGGACTGCATTCATTCAGGGGTCCGCATCAGCGGGACCTTTCAACGGCGAGGTCACGAGTGTATCATTTTCGGAGCACGAGGACTCAGTTCTTGTGTCGGGAGAAAAGTTCTGTTCAGTCGTCTGTGCACTGCACTCATCTCGAAAGCGCAAGCATGGGGACGATGCAAAAGTGACCGGCTTTGAACCGTACGCATTGAGGGTTGGTGACTCAACACTTGTTTCATGTGTGATTGGTGCATCCAGGATTGCGGTTGTACGCAGGCGTTGGGATCTGGTACAATACTCTTCCTCCTTGCCGGATGCAATTCCCAAGAAGCCGTTCGGGAGTTAAGAATCATTTAAAGTGTTGTTAACAACATTAGGAACAAACGTTTTCGCCAAGTTGTTATATAGTACTACTCTAATTCTTCGTATCGTGTCATTTGACTCTGAAGAGTCGAAGCGGTTTCCAACGCACGGTTTCCACATTCAAAGTCCCTTTGCGTTTTTGGAACACTTGAGTGATTGATACAGTATGTCATCTACCAATGTGCTGCAATCTGCAGGTTAAATTGCTCCACACCATCGTCTAAGGCACTCTGTGGAAAATTCAATGTTGGCTCTGCCCAAAGGGATCTGTGGATATCTGTCTCTGCCACCATATTCTCGCGAAAGTTCCTTGCATCGCACTCACGTTGCCGTTGGTGGTGAAGGAGTACGGGCACATTGCTACTGTAGTTTCTGCAGTTTCTTGCTCCTTCACATCGGAAGAGCTGCATCAGGCATGCATATTCGCGAGAACTGCGATGTACCCACCCTTGTACAAGTGTATACAGTTGAGCTTGTGCCCTTGGAAGAGGGCTTGGCTTAGTCTCCATCGCAGTGGTGAGGATGATTGGTTCAACCAACAACAAGGGAACAGTAGTCGTCACAATAGCCGGGGCGGATCCCCTCTTCCTCTCACAGTTTACTCAGGTACGCTGAAGCAACAAACTCTTAATAGCCGACCCTTCGTGTTGGTTAAATGCATAGACGTGTGTCCGGTCGTTGTCAGTTGCACTTGCATTATTGTAGAAGATGAGGGGTAGATACTGTAGGAATTACTAATAGTCTATTAGGCATGGCTCAGCGCGCCCTTCTCCACTGTGGTTGAATCAACCAGGTTGACTTGGAAAGCAGTCGCAAAAGAGCTACAGTCAAAATTTAAACAAAAGCAGACCGTTTTGTACGGCTTCTTCCGAGATGAAGCTGGGGAGATCAACCTCCAGGACTTGTTTAACGTCCATGAGGAGCAAAATCGTCGCGCTCTACCGTCATGCCTACCCTTGAGCAAATAATTGAGCAATTAGCTCAAAGCGCCTCAAAGAAGGAGATTGAAGCCATGGAGAAGCGAAGGAGCTTCGAAGGTGGTTTGCAAGAATTGAAGGGTTATGCAAGGGCTCGCATGGGCATTTATTCTCCGGCCTTCAACAGCGCAAAAGCTACCTCTCTATCGCGCTACCGAGGATCGCAAAAGACGACCTGTGGAAGCTTATGCTGTGCGGTCAGGAGGGCGTACACTGTCCCCTGTCATTACGACCACGTCCGTGCTCACCACCGGACCATCATCACCACCATCATCATCACCATCATCACCACTTCATCATCACCATCACCACCACTCACCACGTCCGTTCTCGATGTATTCTGCGCGCATAGAGGCATTGTTCACAAACAAGAAAATCAAGGAACCCATAATGATTCCAGGTTTCGGCAAGGTCCGACCTGGCAATGGCGAGGTTGCAGAGGCCCGTTCCGTCACAGTGTACTTCTTTGCGAAGCGGCGCACCTTCAAGGAGTTCTAATTAAGGGAAAGCTCATGTTTCAAAAGTACAATCTGATAAAGAGATAATCAAGAAGAGGCTCTCGACAAAATTCTCCACCTGGTGGCGAAGGATTCGGCCACGGATGGTATCCGTAGATTAGTCAAGATGACTCAAGATATCTACGCTTGCAAGCGTAAAGAAGACGAAGCGCCAGCAACGTTTGCTAAACGCTTTCGAGGTCTACCGAAGAAGTACTTGAATCACTGTTACGCATAAAGCAGCACACAAGACAGTCAAAATTTTGCAATGCTTCTTCTCGAGAATGCATTCCTCCCCTCTTCGACTTTCAATAATATTGTCACGCAGCTTATAACCAAGGCATTCTCGCGTGCGACAAATATGTATTAACGTGCATGGTGTCCGTCCCGAAGGACGAGATAACTCAGCTGGAAGCTAAAGAGAAGAAGTTCAAAGACTGCTTCCTTAAATGGAAAGAGGACATCTCCGATGATAGCAGCGACGTATCCACAGAAATCCTCGATAGCATACAGGATCTCACGTCGATCGTTAAAAACATAACCTCCGCAACTGGCAATAAATCAAGCCGTAAACACAAGGAAGATCGTTCGGCATATAACATTACCTTGGACGATTCAGTAGAAGCTCTGGGCGATATCAAGGCAGATGAAGCAACCAATAAGGCTATTCAAAGAAAATGAAAAGTTAACTCTACTGAGCCTAAGGAACTAGGGAGTGGCATTGACCTACGCACCACGTTGCTCGCTAAGCGGAAGTTCTTTGATGCAAGCCAGGCCGGAAAAGATGACTTCAAGCGATCCAAAGTCTACATCCCTCCTGGTACCGGGAAAAAACTCAGATTCCCTCGTTTGCCTTGTGGAGAGATGGGGCACTTGCGAAACGACAAAGAGTGCCCTAAGTATAACTCAGGATCTGGATTCGTCAGGAGATACGGTGATGCAGCAAACGCTACACCCCAGAAGCATTCTAGGAATGTACGGTTCGACAATATTGATGATGATAAGGACAGTAGTATGGCGGCACAAGATAAGAAACAGTATTTTTAATAAAGCAATCCGTCACGCTCCAGACAGATCCCAACCCCATCTTAGACGACGAAGCTCCTACCTCCACAGGAGGTATCCTCAACGCAGCAATTGATACCAAGTATATCGCATAGGATTAATCCTATGCGATATACTTGGTATACCGTTTAAATTGGACCCTCCTCGAGACGTCTACCTGCACGGATGGGGACATGAAGGCCACGAACCCAAGCCAGTCATCGCATCGTGGACGCTTACCACGATGGATGTCAACTCCAACCCCGTATCCTTTACATTTGATATCGTCCCAGGCGAATCACCAATTCTCATCGGTCTTGACCTACGACAGTACACTGACACGCATAACCGCTCCACGCCGACATACATAGTCATGCAAAGACCGTCCGATACGTACCAATTCACTCTTCCGACATACATGGACAGTAACCGAGTAGATAAGAATCAGAGGCTACGATTGGAAATAGCAGCACAAGCACGATCAACGGCAAGATCGCTGCTGTCAAATATCGCACACCTAGGGAGACGCGCCCCGATAGCACTCTCGAAGAAGATACATCGATTTACCCACGCACCCAAAACTGAAGTGAAGACGATATGCAAGGATGCAGGCATACTACATACACCACTTTCGAATGCCATTGACCTAGTAGATTCTGCTTGTAAAGTATGCGCTAAGAACGGGCAACCTGCTTCCTCGAAGAAGCTCTCCTTGACCCACATCAATAAGGCTTTTAATCAAGAACTACAAGCAGACTTCACCCATTGCGAAATAGGAGGCCAGAAACGGATCCTCCTAACGCTCATCGATACAGGGACCGGATATAGCGACAAGAGTATGTCAAAAATAGGTCAATGAATGCAGCGATATCAGCAATGGAACACCGATGGATATGCATGCACGGTGCGCCTCAGTCATTCTCCGCAGACGATGCGTTTAATCGCGAGCCGTTGAAAGACTTCTTAACGCAACACGACATACAATTCAATCCACGTCCCGCACGACGTCACAATAAGATCATAATCGTTGAGCGGAAGAACGGTACGATCAAAGCGATAATCAAGAAGCTCGATAGCGACATCACGGACGCAGGTGCAGACACTATAGTGGCTAGGGTAGTACTACTCTCGAACATGATCTCCGGAACGAAACTCCTCAGCTCATTCCAGCTCGCGAGAGGATATCAACCATCCATCCTCGTTATTCCGAGTCAGGGCATATCGCAGGACCTACTTGATGCTCACA